AATTTGCCCAAAAGTCCAAATAATAAAATTTTTTATTGTAAGGAAAAAAAAAAGGTTGAAGTAAATGAAACAAAAAGAGAAAAAATTTACCAAGCTTCTCATAAAACAAGTTTAAATCTAAGAACAAAAATCGTGCCAAAATTGACACCACAGTGTCGAGAACTGAGAAAAGAATAGGGAGGGGGAGAGAGAGAACTGAAGAAACGGAGTCTGCTGTGATGAAAGGAAAAGTCTGCAGCTTTAGTTTTGATGGCTTAGGAAGAGGGAAGTTACTTTTGTAATCTTTAAAAGGAAAAGATAAGAACAGTGTTGGAATCGATAGAGAAAGAAAGAAAGAATTGCATGTAATAGATTGAGAAGAGAAAGTCAGAGAGAAGAGGAGAATAGTGCTTCCCTGCTCCAGATGAGCCAGGGAAAGAGGATGGGATTTCAAATTGATTGATGAGTTAATAGTTTTATTAAAAATCTGAATTGAAATTAGAAACTCTAATATAATAAGTCTGTGATTATATTTGCCAGCATGGCATAAGAAAGTGTTGTGTAATTTTACTATCAAAAACTTCATTTTTAAAGAAAGTGTAACAAGGCCATTGTTGATATCATGGGCTATTGTGATCATAGATCTTATAAATGTATTAAATGGTGAAATAGTGTTGCTTTCACTGCATGTGTCTGTGCCTTTAAATATTCTCACAGACCTAGAGTGGTACCAATTATTTGTTATCTTGAAATATGTACACGGAGATAATTTTTGTGGGTATTCTGTACTGAAAGCCATACTTTTAACAACAACTTCAGTATTCATATCGCCTTTGCTTCTTCTCCCTTCCACCTGGGGAGAGGACTTTGTGTACATCATGTATGTGAACTGAGTGCCCATTGATTGCATCAAGCCTAATCTACCCTAGTTTCACTGGGAGAATATTTCTTCTTCTCACTAGCCCTGTAGAATAACTTCCAGACTGTTTATTACTGGTCTGTTTATATTGCCCTGTATGGCACGTAAACATATCTTAAAGAACACACTGAAGTGGCCTTGGTTGGAAAAAAAAAAAAAAAAAAAAAAATTGGAGTTTGTATAGTGAATACATATGTTTTTATTTTTATTTCTTTTCCATAAACTTATTTACCGTATTTCTTTTGGGGGTTCCTAGCCTGGAGGGAACTCTGGGGGGTGGCTGCCTGGCAGGGCAGATGCAGCTGCCCTGAATCAAGTTTCATTTCTATGGATTGTGAGAAAAAGAGAGAAAGAAATATTTTCTTTTTCCTTCCTAAACACAACCTTAAAGTAAAAAGTAATTTTAGCGTTTATTTTATACTGAAACCCATGTTGTTAAAAATGAAGAGATGATGTGATAGCCCAAGTAAACAGAATTATATTTATGAGCTAAAGCCTGCTGCTGGCTCTCAGCAGATCACTGTGGTGACTGAGACTAATTATATTAATTCCTGTATACTAGCATATTCACAGCCTGGGAGTATTCGTACTTTCTAGGTCCTAATGGAACTCAGTGTAAAAGTGGAGGCAGCTGTGGCAGAATTGGAAAGAAAGCAAAGGGGGACCTTAGCCCAAACAACACCCTTAAATTTCAAAATGCATAGGATAAACCCTGGGAATTGGGAAGGAAACATCTTTAACCCCTTGTTGAGAGAATCCATTCCAGGAACTGCACACAACAGAGACTGCGATCCCTACTGCAAAGCAGAGACGGACACATCCCTCCCGAATGACAGAACCTCTCCCAAGTGACCATTGACTACGGAGAGAACTACGGACGGTCTGAAATTAATCTTGAGAAGGAAAAGACTGGTGAATAAATAATGATTAATTCCAAAATTTCTAAGAAAGCATCCCCCCCTCGCTGTACAAAGGATTCCAAATACCTCCTCCATATACTTTACAAATAACCCATTATATACCTTAGCATCCAAACAGAATTCCTCTCGAATCAGGGGCAATCTTTAAAATAATAGGAACCCATATCCATCTGCCCCACTGTTGTAAAATAAAAACCGATATTCCTGTACTTCATAGAATACCTAGAGGCATATCCTGTTTAAAACATCCCCATTTAAATCATAAAGGATGAATAGTTTGTCAATTTACTAAATGTAATAAAAAAATAATATTAACTATCAGTCCCAAGGACATGAAAAATGTCTATAAAGTATATACACCTATAAAATTATTGGTGGAAGCACGTTATAAAGTGCCATCTAAGGAAAAAAATTTTATTCTACCCTTTAAACTAAAAAGAACAAACAATAATGATTGAAGTAGTTTGTCTGTAATACTTTGGGAGTGTGGTTTTTTTTCCTTTAAAACATCTTAAACTTAGAGGCCATATAAACCCTGAAGAATACGACTGCTGCCGAGAAGATTACAGAATACCTCGCTGCTCCATGCCACAGAGTTAGGTAAGGGAGGCAGAGACGTACTAGAGTGGGTGCGTAAGTATATGACAAGCCTCTCAATAAACCTGAACTAAAACTAACACTCTGTAAAATAAAAAGGACAAAACCAAACAACAAAAAAAATTAAGCCTTAATTGTACTTCCTCAAGGTCTCCACCAATAATTTAGAAGTAGACATTTCTATATTGTTATGTACTCAGTATGCCAATAACAAAAACAAACACAAAAATAACTAATAATCATCAACCTTTTAAATAATAATCTATGTTTAACTATTCACCTTGGTTAGTTACTCTGTTATCAACTATTACAAAACCTCTTATTTTATTACTTTTAAGACTAACATTTAAACCATGTATTTTTAATAAAATTATTACCATTATTAAAAAAAAATGGAGGAATTGTAATAGAAGGGTTAACTTTGTTCATAAAATCTTATGTGTATGAGGGAATAAAGAACTTTCGCTATAATTCAACAAGATAAGTTTCATGGACATCCTGTTAATCAAGCAAGTGTCAGTAAAAATAATTGCAGACATCTTGCTAAACAAACAAGTATCAGTATCAGTAAAATTTACAACTGATAAGAACTGCACCTTTCATCTCTGACAAATGCCAGATGACCACTCAGCAACGAGCCATGAACTCAAGCCTCAAAGCAATCGCATTCAAAACCCGGGACTTGAAAAAGTATAAAAATGGGACATTTACTACATGGTGGTGTGTGCTTCGGCAGGGCACTTGCCCTCCAGGCCACCCAGCACTGTTTTGCTTTATTATTGCTTGCTTAATAAATTTATCAATGTTTAATTGGAATTGAGTTGTCTAAATTCTTATACTAACTTATAACAAAGGTCACAGGGAAGATGGTTTATGTGACTGATACAAATGGTGCCTTGAGCATGGGGCGCTCGTCTGGGAAAGGTGACTCCTCGAGAGCTGCTGTGAAACCAACAGATGGCACCAAGAAATACCTAAAATTCTTTGGGTATCTTTCTGCAATCAAGAAGTCAGGGATATGGAAATAGTTTGGTTAAAAAAAAAAATTACACACATATATATACAAATATAAATATTTATATATATATATACACATATATATATAAATATATAATAATATATATATTATATATATATAAATATAAATAAAAGGTATTTATAACTCCCTGACAGGAGGGTGAAATGGGGATCAGCTCTGGTCCCAGGGAACAAGTCACAGGATGAGGGGACAGAGTCTCAGGTTGCACCAGGGAAGGTTTAGGTTGGATATCAGGGAAAATTCCTTCATGCCCAGGGCAGTGGTGGAGTCCCCATCCCTGGAGGGATTTAAAAGCCATGTGGATGCAGCACTTGGGGACATGGGTTAGTGGTGGCCTGAGCAGTGCTGGAGACTCACAGAGGGCTTTTCCAACCCAAATGATTCAGTGATTCAATGATAACAGAAAGGAACCTTCTCTCTCCAGCCACCAGACCTTGCTGGGTACCCAGCCTCTACTCCTGAGGGCACCAGCATGTTGTCAACTCACTTTCAAACTTCATCATCCATTTTTCTTGGACAAATTTTTCCAACAAAGGATGGATTTTATAAATCAATTACACCAAACTCATTTAAAAACAATAATGAGAGGTTGTTGATTTAAAGACACAAACTCACAGATGAATAAAACCAGTGGAAAGACTTTGGGTCCATTTCTAATCAAGGGCTGAACTTGACAAGAGGATTTCCAAGCCCTAAAGCCCAAAGATATCAGAAATGTTGCATTGTACAAACACAGAATGTCATTCACGGCAGGAGATTACACTCTTACATAAACCTGGCTTTGGGCACGAGGGTTGAGACGAGTTCAACTGCGGCCAGAAATGCCCCTGTGCTGCTCGGGGGATCCTCCTGCTTCCCTCTGCAAAACACTCCTCGTTCCTACAGGATTTAGGTCCAAGTGACAGTCACTGACAGAGCGATGAAATGGGTTGGGCTGGGAGGGGCCTTAAAGCCCACCCAGTGCCACCCCTGCCCTGGGCAGGGACACCTTCCACCAGCCCAGGTTGCTCCAAGCCCTGTCCAACCTGGCCTTGGACACTTCCAGGGATCCAGGGGCAGCCAAAGCCTCTCTGGGCAGTGCAGCCCGTCCACGGCACGTGGGTGGGTGTGGGCAGAGCGTGGCACCGAGCCGTGTGCGGGGCATGTGCCCGCCCGGCCGGGCTGTCCCCACGGGGCAAAACGCTCCCATTGTGTGCCCGTGGCAGGGCGAGGTCCAGCGGCACAAACCCCATGGGGAATGTTAAGCGGGTTAGGTGGCAGGGTGCTGGGGAAGGTGGTCACCCTCCAGGGATTAGGGGTGGGAACAATGGCCGTCCCTGTGACCGGCAGGGACACAAAGGGCCATTGTGCCCGGAGCACAAACTCCTGTTCATTCCCGCGGGGCTGACATGCCCACGGCCCCGCTCCCGGGCCAGCACAAAAGCTTCCTTGCTCAGATTGTTTGTTTATGTAAATTATAATGGTGCGTTTAATTATGCAACGGGCAGAGCCTGGGCGACAGGGGAGGTGCTGATTGGGCTGGCGAGCTCTGGGCACAGCGCATGGTGTGGCCGAGGACCGAGGACCGGGCACAGGAGACGCGCCTGGACCATCGGAGCAGGGGAGCAGAGCCCGGGGCGAAGGGGTGAGGAGAGCACTCCCCACCCCGGGGCACAGGAGTGGGGCCCCCGAGTGCTCGGCCCCAGTCGGTGGGCACGGCACTGCAGGACACGGCCCTAAGCATGACAGAAGAGGTGCCCGCAGCTCCCACCATGCCGGCGTGCAACGGGAGCGTGCCCCCCGAGGACGGCCCGCTCCAGGGCATCGGCGTGATCGACGAGAGACCAAAATCTACTGGGATGGTCCCACATGCAAACGTCGAAACCAGCCCTGATGCTCCACTTGCAAAGGAAGCTCTGGAGGAAAACAGAAATTCATTGGCAGAGGACATCACCCCGGGGGATTCTGCTGGAGAGAAGCCATGCCAAGGTACCGTACAGGGCTGCTTGTCTCTTGAGAGCTGGGAGAGAAAAGCTGTTTTTTCTATAGCCTGATGAATAACGGGACGTGCTGTGCACGTTAGTTAAAATTCCTAAACTATGGAAGCTGTAGCAGTGGCTCGTAGTATTTTGGGGCACACATTTGAGGGACGAGTTTGTAACTAAAGAAACAAACAATTTCTAAATCTGCTCTGAAAATCTGACAATCTGCAGCCATTAAAACCTGATTGTCGTCACTAATTGCTCCATGAGCCCATGTCTTCTGCTTTGTGTTTCCCAAAGAAAAGCGAGAGGAGAAGGATGGGACGCTACAGCAGGGAGCAGCGGATATCCAGGACACAGGGACCGATGGCCAGGGATCAGGGGAAGGTAACGCAAAATGCTCTCTGATGTGGGGTTTCCCTGACACATAGCAATGAATGGCCTTCAAAGTCAGTGGATACAGGTGGTTATTATTTTTTTTTAATTGGGTCAGACCCTTCTGTTTCAGAGAGCAGTGACTCATTTCTCACGCATGGAGTTGCTGCACCTTAGAAACCACAGCTGGTACCTTCCTTCCTGAGGTTTGGCATATCTCCATACCATGGGGTATCGAAGCACTGTGGGGTCTTTGACCAGGAGATCCCTAAAAGCTTCGTGAGGTTGGGAGATGCTCCATCCTCTGCTTCATGCTCAAAGGAGAACCTGGGGAGGTTGCCAAAGGCCTCAAAATGCAAACTCTTTCCCTACCTGATTTACTAAGGTTGAATCCCATTTCAGATAACCATGGGCTTATCTGCAGAAAATTGCTCTCCAAAACACATGCTCCTCAGTTTCACTCTGCTCATTTCTGGGTGAAAATGGTAGAAATCAGTGGGAGCCAAGGCTGGTCCCTCAGCTGTGTCCTGGGGTGAGTGGGGCTGCAGGGGGGTCACTGCCCACCCTGCTCCCCAGTTAAAATGTACTGACTATATATACAGAAAATGTATCTTCCTTATATATACAGAAGAACATATTTAATTACACTATGCAAACTGCAGCCACTCCTCCAAAAGGAGAAGTATTTTGTGGAGTGTTACTAGAGAAGGAGTATTTTGTGGAGGGTTATTAAAGGAGGAACGCCACGTTTCTGCAAGGGGGGCTCCAGGCATTACTCCTTTCTGTGTCTCCCACCAGTGGGCTCCTGCCTGTCTCTTTGGCTTTGGCAGTGGTGGGACAAGGGCACTGGGCCAGGGGCTGTTAGAGGTGCTCTCCCCTGAGCTTTGAAGGTGGTTCTAAAAGAGGAACAGGCTGTGCCCTGCAAACGGAAACTGCTTTCATTAGGAAAAGGAAAAATATCTGAATATTTGTCATGGGCAAATTAATATTTCATAGTAACTGCCTAGGCTGTGAGGAGGTGAATCATGGTGGAGGCTATCCCACTTAGAGCTGACATCCATATTCCAGCTGTGCTGCTTTAGGAGTGCACAATAAAACCTATTAAAGGATCTCACACAGCTCCCCCCGCCTCCACCCCTCAACCACAAGCACTTTATCTTGAAATTGCAGGCAGCTTTTTAGTACCCAACCAATTTAGTCTAATTAATACTCTGGACCCCACAGGCAAAACGTTGAATAGACCATTTGTTGCAACACTAAAGCATCATTACCCACAGAGACGTGCCAAACAGGACAAATGGGAGATGGCCATCGCAGCCGGGGCAGCCACCGCTGAGGGAGGGACACGTCCCAGGGGGCACGGCTGGGCACTGCGTGCAGAATGGCTCCCTTCCCCTTCCCTCTTTCTTTCCCCTTTCCTTTTCCTTCCCCTTCCCTTTTTTTCCTTCCCCTTCCCTTTTCCTTCCCCTTCCCTTTCCTTCCCCTTCCCTTCCTTCCCTTCCCTTTCCTTCCCCTTCCTTCCTTCCCCCCTTCCTTTCCTTCCCCTTCCCTTTTCCTTCTCCCTTCCCTTTCCCTTCCCCTTCCCTTTTCCTTCTCTTTCTGTTTTCCTTCCCCTTCCCTTTCCCTTCCCCTTCTCCCTTCCCCTCCTCTGGGTGGGAACAGGTGTAGAACAGAGAAAGGCATTAAGAAAGGGGGCCAGCCTTTGGTTCCCCTCACCCCCTGGGGGATGGGGGCTTTGGGGGCACCCCCAGAACCTGCAGGAGTTCCCCATGGGGTGCTGACCCCTCCTCACCTGCACCCTCCGTGTCCCGTAGGGCCGGGTGGCACAGAGGGGCTGCCGGTGGGCACCGGGGAGCCACCAGTGCCAACAGCCAGTCCCAGCGAGGAGGCAGAGAAGAGCCTGCCAGCCAGGGCTGATCCCAGAGGGGACGTGGCCAAGCAGGAGGAGGAGGAGGATGTGGAGGAGGAGGACACTGAAGAGGATGAAGTTCAGGTGATTGAAATCAAGAAGGAGAACAGCGAGGCATCCCACCTGCAGCAGCAAGAGAGCTGCAAGGAGCCATCTGCCCTGACCAGCCCCAGCTGCAACTCCCCGCTGGAGAAACCTGGGGAGCAGCCCAGCCTGGGCAAAAAGAATGACATCTCCAGACACAGCTATTCCAGATACAACACAATCTCCTACCGGAGGATCCGGAAAGGAAACACCAAACAGCGGATCGATGAGTTTGAATCCATGATGCACTTATGAACTGAGGGGGAATTGCCTAATGCGCCAAACCTTGGCTCTGGGTCTGGGTTTATTTTGTTCCCCCAAGATGTCTCTTCACACAACATGAGGTCACTGCTTTTCTCCTTTTTGTACATGATTTATAATACACTGTGAAAATTTAACATCTTGGCTTTGACAGGGGCAGAGGTGTCCATAGTGCAGGAAAATAAATAATCAGTTTGCTAAATACAAACCCCTTCGATTTTAAGGTTATGCTCTTATTTTCTCTTCAACTTTATAACCACGTTCAGACCACAGAACTGGCCGGGGCTCCTCTGGCTGCAGCGCGCACGTGGCCTGTGCCGTCAGCCACGCTGGAATGAGCTGGCAGTGGGAGGCACTGGCCAGGGCTGGGGAACAGTAAGAGACAACTCTTGGCAATCCCCCTGCTCTGGTTTGCTGTGTGTCCATGCTGGCACCTGACAGTGCCCCCACAACCGCTGTCCATGCCCACCTCACGCTGCAGGGATGGACTGGCAGAGGCCAGTGTGGGAACTGAAGATGAGAAGGCACTGAGGACCCTGTGCCCTTCCTGCTGCTCCTCACACCTCCAGTGGTGTGACAGCCAGCACCGGGTAGGTCTGGCACGCACGGGGTCAGAGGTGTCAGCATGATGTGGTGTTGCCTGCCTGTCCTCACTGTGGGCACTGCCAGGCTCACCAGAGCTGCCGTCCTGCCTGTCCTGGGCAGACAGTGACTCCACAGAGCAGTCACACAGACAGGGCTCCTCTTTCCCCCCTCCTCACTGTGGCAGCCCCCAGCCCTGAGGACCCCCACCCAGCCAGCCCTGGCAGCCTGGGGACTGTACTGGTGACCAGTGCCATCTCCAGCACAGAGCTGGGGTCTGGACCAGCCCCGAGGGCAGCAGCTCACCCAGAACATCCCTGTGTGTGCCTCAATGTGCCCCTGGCAAACCTGGCCACTGCCAGGAACCTCTATTTTCCCAGGGTCACCAGGTCAGACTCTCTTCTCGACTAAGTTTAGATGCAAAATTAAAGATTGTTTTGTCAAAGCCAGAAAAGTTTTAACCATAATTTTTGTCTCATCTGAACACAACCCTTCTCCATTTTGAAAGACCTTTGTGTAACCACCATACAGTTGTTGCAATCTTTTTTTAAAACTGTTTTTCAGTCAGATTTGTCTGGAGTTGGGACTTAGCTTTGCTACTGCCATCCCAGAAAACATCTGGGAAAGCCATTATACAGAACCCTCCTGCAGCCTTAAGTGCCTTTTTAAGGATTAGCTTTACATCTCCAGCAGCACTGAATATCGTTTTGACTCTTCTTGTTCTACATAAAGGCAATTATTTATTGGCAACATGAAAATAATACACGGCAATTCTGCATTGTATCAGCAGACACAGCCCTCATTGTGCCATTCACACTTGTTTATTTGCTCCTTGGCCTGGGGAAGTTCTGAGCTTTGCTTGTACCAACTTATACTGTGGGTCTGTTCCCACTGACAGCTGCCCTGGGCTGCTCTGGGGGTGACACCTCCCTCTTAAAGACGTGGTCATGGTCATTCCAACCAGGGCCAGGCTGGACTGGGCTGGGAGCAACCTGGTCTAGTGGAAGGTGTCCCTGCCCATGGCAGGGGGTGAAACAAGATGAGCTTTCAACCCAAACCATTCTGTGATTCTACCATTCTTTGTGACCATTCCCAGAACTTGGGAATGTTCTGGAAAAGTGGGAAAGGCTCCCTGAGACTTTCAGTGACCTTGGACTCACTTCTTACCTTGCTTGCAAAGCAGCACTCGCTCAGCTGAGAGCTGCAACGCCCTCTCCTGCTTTCCTGAGTAACTGGAAAAATAAAAGTGCTGGGATGCTCTGGGGGCTTGAGGGCCTTTCCCACAAGCAGCCCCCCTTGCCAGACCCTCCGGGTGGGTGGATGTGGTGTGGACAGCAAGGGGCTCACAGGTAATGACGAGGCAGAGGGGGGTTGCTCGCCCTCTGGCCATCACGGTGGTCAGTGGGTTGGATGGGGCACACAGAGCAGCCAGGCAGGGAGCTGCCTGTATGGCATGTGAGGTGAAGGGACACCTGGAGATCTGGAAACCTGTCCCTTGGAGCAAAGGCACTTTCAGGCTGATCAGGGCATGGCAGTCACAGCCCCAGTTTAACCTGAAAATCCTTTCTCTCTGTTTCCAGTGTTCTGTGTTGGTCACTTAGTTAACTCACTGCGCTCAGAGGAAGCACTTTCACCTATTATCATTTATTCCCTCTTTCTAAACATTTTTTTTTTGAGTATATCAAATGGGGCCTCCCCGTGACCCCTCTGATTCAAGGCACTCAGTGATGGGAGCACAGCATGACATGCTGTGTCCCTTCCCATCACAGCTCCAGGGGCATTTGCTCTCCTCTAGAAAAGCTGTGCCTATTTCCTATTGCTGACACCAGGGACATCAGGAGCTTCCAGCCCCATCCCAAGCAGTGGTTCTTCCAGCTGTGGTGCTTTCCTCCCTGTGCTCACTGCTCACACAGCTGCACAGCCCAGGCTCTGAGCGCCCCGAGGTGCGATGCACAGCCCGGTGTGTCAGTGGGGACGGCGGGAGCAGCGTAGGGAGCAGTGGGACCATCGCCACGGCCGCTGAGCCTGCCGGAAAAATGCTCTTGTTTCTGGAAGACTGGGCTGACTGGTGCCACCGGAACATTCCCAGTGCTGAGCAACAGCAGGGCCCCAGCTCACTGCCAGCAGCCCCGAGGCACCTCCAGTCCCTGAGCAAAGATCCAACGTGGAAGTGAGCATTTACACAAGCGGGGCACCGGCACGCGAGTGACAGGGCTGGCGATGGGATGTGACTGTGACATACGACTGCCCAGTGCCTGCTCCGTGACAAGTGATTGAATGTCAGCAAACAGAATTTGATGAAATTCATGCTCCTGATACGAGCTGACTGCCCAAACATCGCCTGTGCCATTTCTCTGATGGTGACTGCGGGCTAGCAGCGCTGAAGGAGGGAGACAAAATCGGGAAGACAGTTGCAATAGGAGTCAACTGGGAAAATCTGTTGGGCCAGTCAATATTTTGGCAGACTGAGCCTGTCAGATGCTGTCAGCACTGATCCACCACATCAGAGGCAACAATATGCCATGGCCTTCTGAAGAACCAAAGGAGAGGCATGGGGGTGTGTGAGGTGGGACAGCAGAGGCTCGACCATGGTCACCAGTGCTGTGAGCAGCCAGGGCAAAGCTCAGCCCTGGGTACCCCGAGGGCTTGGGCTGGAGCAGCCCCTCACCTCAGAACAGGGTAGTGGGGCAGGAGAAGTGCTGCCTCCCCCCCTGACCCCGCAGCAGCACAGGGAGCAGCCTCCCACAGTGGGAATTCCCAGTGGGAACAGGGGAGAAACCCTGCCAGGGATGCAGTGGTGTTACCATACTGCAGTTTGGTGTGCAGATCCTGGCTGTGCCGGGCAGCTTGGCCTGAGGGAACTGGTAGTGCTCTTGGGGAGCCCCCCAAAAGCCACGGGGGCTTGGGGACATGGCTGGGGTGCTGGCAGCCCCAGGGTGGGACAGCCTGGCTGTCCACTGCTGTGTGCCACCAGCAAGAAGCAAGATAAACCTTTGGATCCCCTCTCCAGCAGCTCCTCTCTCTGCCCAGCAGAGCCAGGCACACGTGCCCTCACTGTCCCCATGGCGTGGGCAGGACCAGCTCCAAGCCTCTGTCACAGCCCCCGGGTAACCCCATCGAGCCACATTCATCTCCCGCTATTAAAAGTGGCTTTATCGATACACCATCGATCCCTCACAGAGCTCTGGTCCTCATCTGTCAGACAGTGGGTCCCCCGGGACGGGAGCCTGTGGCTGCATCCAGTGTGGGCACTGAGATGGATTTATTTGATGTGCTGGTCAATAAACTTCCATTTTCTGTGGAGGAATAAGCAGCCCCTGCTTTGCTGCTTATGGACTTACAGGGCCCTGGAAGTATTTCTGCAGCTTGTGCTGCTGTCAGGGGGAACTGAGGGATGTTTGCTTACAGTGGGATGGGGACTTCAGAAAATATTTCCATTTAATAATACAGAAAGTGAGTTTTTGCCAAAGTCTCCCATGGTGAGGGCCGATCTGTCCAGGCACTGTCAAACCAGATGAGCTGCTCTTGGTGTTCTGATCCCTCAATATGCTGGTGTTAAATCATGGATTTCAACTGTCCTCTGGAAATGCACTTCCCATCTGGGAGCCGTCCCAGCCACGCCGGCGTCCTCGCTGAGCTCACGGCTGGAACCACGGCGGTCCTGGAGCAACTGGACCCTTCAGTCCGCGTGGTAACTGCCAAACTGCCACTTCTGGTAAGGGCTGGTGGAGTCACAGGCCTTCACCCTCAGGGCTTTGTAAGAGGGATCCACCTCCAAGCAAGAAGGCTGTGGGAGGTGCTGGTGCTCCGAGATGAGGTGGTCGCTCTGCAGGGGAGAGAGAGAAGGCTCAGGGGGGCTCAGGCTCCAGTGCCCTGCAGCAGCAGCTCTATTTTCTTACCAAGAAGGCTTGGTTTACAGAATCATAGAATCAATTAAATCAAGTCCAACCTATTCCTTATGGTGTGCCCTTTTTTGACGTGTCTCTAATATGTGAGATCTCTGCTGACTTACAGAGACTTTGGGGTGGGATCCAATGCTGCACGTGTTGCTGAGCCAGGATCACACCACACCTGCTGTGCTTTCTGGCTGTTCCTTCACTGGGAATGGAGAGATCAGCTCTCTCGCTGTCAGCGTGCCAAAGAGAATCACTCAGGTGGCATTTGCTACATGGGGAATGTACAGCAGGAGATGGGTCTTTGTACTGTGGAGTTTGTTGGCTGATGAACTCAGAGCACAGTTACTGTGCTGAGAAAGATGTCAGGGAATTCAAACACCGGGGCAGTACATTGGATTGTGAAAGAATTAAGAGTCTGAGTGATCTCCACCCTTTTGTTCCTCACATTGACTTGGATTTACCTACCTAAGCCCCATGGCCAGCCAGGTGATGCTGCCACAGGCAAGGGACACTGTCACTGCCCCGCACTGCAGTGACTCTCGGGATCAGCTCATTAACACTGACATGTAGAGTGGGGTCTGGGCAGAAGCTGGATCTTTGTGCAGACAGAAACTGCACTTCACATCATTAAACAACACAATGACTGATGTCAGCAGAGGGTAAAGCACCGAGACTCCTTCAGCCAGCAGCTGCTGAGCTCCCCTCAGACTCCTATTGCTCCTTTCCCAGT